TGTCCCATATGGTATTATTTGACAGGGATGATGGCCCTGGCAGGCGCGCAACCGTTGTTGCAGAAGTTCGAAGCACGTGAAAAAGTTGCTCGCAAGAGCCCGTTTGACAGAAATGTTGAAAAAGTATTGGGTTTCCTAAGAAATCCGCAAGAGCGCGCGGGATGAATTTTTGATTTTTTTTTGAAAAACCATTGGGTTTTTCATGTTTTTATGTTAAAATCGCTACGAAAACTAAGGTTTTGGAAGGATTTCATCTTGCGCGCGCGAGTGTGCACTTCGTGTCATTTTTTGCAAAGGATTCTTGAAGTTTGGCTATGTTAGAACAAGACATGTCATTTTATATTGTTTTTTGACAGGGAAAGCGGGCGTCAACAAAACAACCGGATCCGGACTCCCCCGTTTTGCCTGAGACTTCCTCACGAAAATGATGAACATGTGGCTGCGGCCTAGGCGCGGCGAGGGGGGCGTGCACCAGGGGGCCCAACAATAATTATTCTTTAGAAGTAATAATATTCAACAACAACAATATCATCATTATTATCAACAACAACAACAGCAGCAACAACAACAACAGCAATACCAACAACAACGACGACGACAACAACACCAATCATCTTAAGACTGGTCGCCCTTATCTGCTCGAGTGTCCAATAACGCGTATTCCCCCAACCCTCGATACCCACCCTCTTCGTTTTCGATCGAACCCCTTTTGGGGGGTATACCTTTCTTCCCTGCAGGCCGGGCCCCGGCAAGCGGCGGGGCGCTGGCCAGCGGCAGCGCTGATCGGCGGGGCGGCCGCGGACCGTCGACCCGACCCCAAGGAGGGACGGACAGGGGACCGACCACGACGACGACGAAGTCGACGACGACGGCGACGGCGACGAGCGAAAGCGAGAGAGAACGACAGCAGGGCCACAAGGACACGAAGTAGGCCACGAAGGGCGACAGCGCGGACACAAAGGGAATGCGTATGGGGCCACGAAGAGCGCGAACGAGCGGGGGCCACGAAGGGCATACGCATACTGGGCCGCGGAGGGCAAGGACGGGACCAATGAGGACAGCAACGGGGCCACGAAGGGCAGCGAAGGGGCCACGAAGGGCGACAGCGGGGCCACGAAGGGCAGGAAGGGGGCCACGAAGGGCGACAACGGGGCCACAAAGGGCATGCGCATGGGGCCACGACGGGCGCGAACGATCGGGGGCCACGAAGGGCAGATCATGCGGGGCCACAGAAAGCAACGACGGGGCCACTGAAGGTAGCATCTGGGCCACGTAGGACAATGAGGGGCCACAAACGGCGACAGCGGGGCCACGAAGGGCATGCACATGGGGCCACAACGGGCGCGAACGAACGGGGGCCACGAAGGGCATACGTATACTGGGCAGCGGAGGGCAAGGACGGGGCCACTGAAGGGCAGCGAGGGGGCCACGAAGGGCAGCGAGGGGGCCACGAAGGGCGACGGCGGGGCCACGAAGGGCATGCATATGGGGCCACCACGGGCGGGAGCAAACGGGGGCCACGAAGGGCACACACACACATATATGGGGCCACGAAAAGCAGCGAGGGGGCCACTGAGGGCAGCGAGGGGGCCGCGAAGGGCTGCAACGGGGCCACGAAGGGCTGCGACGGGGCCACGAAGGGCAGCGAGGGGGCCACGAAGGGCTACAACGGGGCCACGAAACAAAGCGAGGGGGCCACGAAGGGCTGCAACGGGACCACGAAGGGCAGCGAGGAGACCACGAGGGGCTGCAACGGGGCCACGAAGGGCATCGAGGGGGCCACCAATCAAGGGCTGCAACTGGGCCACGAAACAAAACGAGAGAGCCACGAAGGGCTGCAACGGGGCCACGAATGGTAGCGAGATCCCGATTCGTAGGGCATCTGCCGGGGAGTCCTAAACTTGAGCGCGACTCATGGGTGCCTGGGTGTCGGGAGCGCGGCGCTTGAGTAAATTGCAGGAGTGTCCAACACAAGGACGCTATTCTTGAGTAAATTGCAAGCAAGTCTCCAGCGAAAGCGCGACTCCAGAGCGCCGGGAGAGCGATTCCTGAATCAAGTGTAAGGACGTCCCAAGCGAAAGCGCGATTCCTGAATGAAATGCGAGGACGTCTCGGGCGGGAGCGGGGGTCCTGGCTAAATAGTGAAGAAGTCTCAGGCGGGAGACGTTGGTGTTGTTGTTGTTGTTGTTGTAGCCCGGGGGCCCACGACACAGTTTGACTCTCAAAACTTTCCTTGTCAAAAAACAAGGTGCGAGCCCCGGGAAGGGCACTTCAATCGAGAAAAATCATGTGCACCGGACGGGGGGGATCAATAATAATTCTTCAGAAATGAGAACTCAACAACAACAACAACAACAACAACAACAACAACAACAACCACTACAACAACTACAAGAGCAACAACAACAAACATCTTAAGACTGTTCGCCCTTATCTGCTCGAGTGTCCAATAACGCGTATTTCCCAAACCCTCGAATACCCGCCCTCTTCGTCTTCGATCGAACCCCTTTTGGGGGGTATACCTTTCTTCCCTGCAGGCCGGGCCCCGGCAAGCGACGGGGCGGCTGCGGACCGTCGGCCTGGCCAGCGGCAGCGCTGATCGGCGGGGCGGCCGCGGACCGTCCACCCGACCCCGAGAGGGACGGACAGGGGACCGACCACGACGACGACGACGACGTCGACGACGACGACGACGACGGCGACGACGACGACGACGACGGCGACGACGCGCGAAAGTGAGAGCGAGAGAGAACGACAGCAGGGCCACGAAGGACACGAAGTAGGCCACGAAGGGCGTCAGCGGGGACACGAAGGGAATGCGCATGGGGCCGCGAAGAGCGCGAACGAGCGGGGGCCACGAAGGGCAGATAATGCGGGGCCACAGAAGGCAACGATGGGGCCACTGAGGGTAGCAACTGGGCCACGTAGGACAGTGAGGGGGCCACAAACGGCGACAGCGGGGCCACGAAGGGCATGCACATGGGGCCACAACGGGCGCGACTCCTGGGTGCCTGGGTGTCGGGAGCGCGGCGCTTGAGCAAATAAAAGGAAATTCCAACGCAAGGGCGCTATTCTTCAGTCAATTGCATGAAATGCGAGGACGTCTCGGGCGGGAGCGGGGGTCCTGGCTAAAACGTGAGGAAGTCTTAGGCGGGAGCCGTTGTTGTTGTAGCCCGGGGGCCAGGGGCCCAGTTTGAGCATCAAGACTTTCCCTGACAAAAAAACCGGGTGCGAGCGTCGCGGGGCACACTTTGATTGAGAAAAAACAATATGCACCGGTGGGGGATCAACAATAATTATTCTTAAAAAATGAAAATGCAACAACAACAACAACAACAACAACAAACTCAACAACAGCAACAACAACAACAACGACAGCAACGACAACAACAACAACAACAACAACAACAACAATCACTTTACCCGAACGCTCAGTGTTCTCACCAGTGCCAGGGTTTTCATGCGACGCCAGCCAATACCCCCACTTTGTGGGGGGGCAGTGCAAGCTCTACCAAATATCCACACGACTCTTCGCCACCACCCACACCCAGCTTCCCGCCCTATGACGTTCGGACACTTCACTTCGTGGCCTGCGGACGACCGTGGCTACTACACTGGCGTGGAGTACACACCCACAGAAGTTGTTAAGCCTACGTTCGTACACCCACAGAAGTTGTTAAGCCTTGTTAACCCACAGAAGTTGTTAAGCCTTCCACAGAACATCTGTTGCATATGATGCATATGGTACATGATACACATGATACACATGATACGTACTCACAAGATAGTTGATCACATCTTTAGGGCAAATTCCTGAGGGATGTGGGAATACACAAGAGAGAGAGGATATGGTTGTCCCGATGGTTGTCTCGATGGTTGTCCCGATGGTTGTCCTGATGGTTGTGGTTGTCCCGATCGTTGTCCCGAGGGCGCCTATGGCGCAACCAATAGGGGGACGTTTTATTCTCGGCGGCCGAGGGCGCAACCTATGGCGCAACCGCAAGGGATTGTGGCCCCTGGCAGGCGCGCGAACCCCGTTGCAAGAGCGTGCGAAAGTAGCTCGCGCGAGCTCATGTAACATAAATGTTGGAAAACCATTGTTTTTTTTAGGATTCGGACAGCGCGCGCGGGTAGAAATTTTGAAAAGTCGTGCAGGTGTTTTTCGAGGACCTACGGTGCGATTCGTGTGATTTTATGATGCGCGGTGCTAAAATTCTTAAGAGGTGTTTTTCGAGGACCTACGGTGCGATTCGTGTGATTTTATGATGCGCGGTGCTAAAATTCTTAAGAAGCCCAATGGTTTTTGGAGATTTCGGCGTGCGCGCGCGAAGAAAAAACGAATGTGTCCCGCATGGTATTATTTGACAGGGATGATGGCCCTGGCAGGTGCGCAACCGTTGTCGCAGAAGTTCGAAAAAGTTGCTCGCAAAAGCCCGTTTGACAGAAATGTTTTAAAAGTGTTGGGTTTCCTACGAATCCGCAAGAGCGCGCGGGATGAGATTTTGACAATTTTTGTTGAAAAACCATTGGTTTTTTGATGTTTTTATGTTAAAATCGCTGCGAACACTAAGGTTTTGGAAGGATTTCGTCTTGCGCGCGCGAATGTCCACTTTACCTTATTTTTTGCAAGGGATTCTTGAAATTTGATTATATTAGAACAAGAAATGTCATTTTCTATTGTTTTTTGCAAGGGAAAGCGGATTACAACAAAACAACCGGATCCTGTACACACCCTCTTTTCTGAGGCTTCCTCACGAAAATGATGAAAATGTAGCTGCGGCCTAGGCGGCGCAGGGGGGGCGCGCACCAGGGGGCCCAACAATAATTATTCTTTAGAATAAATAATGTTCAACAACAACAACAACAATTACTAGCACGTGGGGACACTCCGTTCTCACCAGTGCCAGGGTTTTCATACGACGCCCGCCAATACCCCCACTTTGTGGGGGGGCCGGTTCAAGCTCTACCACATTTCCAAACGACTCTTCGCCACCACCCACACCCAGCTTCCCGCCCTATGACGTTCGGACACTTCACTTCGTGGCCTGCGGACGACCGTGGCTACTACCCTGGCGCATGGGTACAGTGACTTGTTGTGGTAACATTTTCTGGACGCTAGCTGAGTATACGACTTTTCCCCCTGTTCCAACACTGGACACCTGTACTGGTGTTTGGTGGTAACGTGTTCCTGACGCTAGAATAAGGCATTTTTGGTGGTAACCTGTTCCTGACGCTAAAATTCCTAAGAAACCCAATGGTTTTTGAAGATTTCGGCGTGCGCGCGCGAAGAAAAAACGAATGTGTCCCGCATGGTATTATTTGACAGGGATGATGGCCTTGGCAGGTGCGCAACCGTTGTTGGAGAAGTTCGAAACACGTGAAAAAGTTGCTCGCAAAAACCCGTTTGACAGACATGTTTAAAAAGTGTTGGGTTTCCTACAAATCCGCAAGAGCGCGCGGGATGAACTTTTGACACTTTTTTTTTTTGAAAAGCCATTGTTTTTTATGTTTTTATGTTAAAATCGCTACGAACACTAAGGTTTTGGAAGGATTTCGTCTTGCGCGCGCGAATGTCCACTTTACCTTATTTTTTGCAAGGGATTCTTGAAGTTTGGTTATGTTAGAACAAGAAATGTCCACTTTGCCTTATTTTTTGCAAGGGAAAACCGCCCGTAACAAAACAACCGGATCCGGACCAACCCGTTTTGCCGGAGACTTCCTCACGAAAATGATGAAAACATGGCTGCGGCCTAGGCGCGGCGAGGGGGCAGCGCACCAGGGGTCCCAACAATAATTATTCTTTAGAAGTAATAATATTCAATAACACCAACAACAACAACAACAACAATCATTTAAGACTGGGGACACTCCGTTCTCACCAGTGCCAGGGTTTTCATAGGAGGCGGGCAATACCCCCACTTTGTGGGGGGGCCGGTTCAAGCTCTACCAAATTTCCAACGACTCTTCGCCACCACCCACACCCAGCTTCCCGCCCTATGACGTTCGGACACTTCACTTCGTGGCATGCGGACGACCGTGGCTACTATTCAGGGCCCCGCGGCCGACGACGACGGCGTGCGCGCGCGAAGAAAAAACGAATGTGTCCCGCATGGTATTATTTGACAGGGATGATGGCCCTGGCAGGTGCGCAACCGTTGTCGCAGAAGTTCGAAAAAGTTGCTCGCAAAAGCCCGTTTGACAGAAATGTTTAAAAAGTGTTGGGTTTCCTACGAATCCGCAAGAGCGCGCGGGATGAGATTTTGACAATTTTTTGTTGAAAAACCATTGGTTTTTTGATGTTTTTATGTTAAAATCGCTGCGAACACTAAGGTTTTGGAAGGATTTCGTCTTGCGCGCGCGAATGTCCACTTTACCTTATTTTTTGCAAGGGATTCTTGAAATTTGATTATATTAGAACAAGAAATGTCATTTTATAGTGTTTTTTGCAAGGGAAAACGGATTACAACAAAACAACCGGATCTGGATCACATCGTTTTACCTGAGGCTTCCTCACGAAAATGATGAAAATGTAGCTGCGGCCTAGGCGGCGCAGGGGGGGCGCGCACCAGGGGGCCCAACAATAATTATTCTTTAGAATAAATAATGTTCAACAACAACAGCGGCAGCAGCAGCAACAGCGGCAGCAGCAGCAACAACAACCACAACCACTACAACCACTACAACCACTACCAACAACAACAGCAACAGCAGCAGCAGCGACAACAGCAACAGCAACAGCAGCAACAGCAACAGCAACAGCAGCAGCAACGAATACAGCAAGAACAACAACAGCAGCAGCAACAACAACGACAGCGACAACGACAACGACATCAACAACAACACCAACACCAACACCACCACCAACAACAACATATACAACAACAATAACAACAACAATAGAACGGCACCGGCACCGCGAGCGTCGAGAAGCAGGTCAAGTGAAGCGCCCACCGCGGGCGGGGTGGTGCCGCTGGGCTCTGCGGATGGTGCTGCTGTCGCCCCCTCGTTCCGCCTGCGCTCGACAAGAGTCCACCGGGACTGAGCCGTTGCCCGCTGCGGGCCCGCTTGCTTCTTTGGTGCCGCTGCCTCTGTGCCGCCCCGGGGCCCGAGGCGCCGCCCACGCAGCGCCAGAGGAGGTCTGGGAGCGGGCTGCGGGCGCCGCGGTGCCGGCGCACCATGCCCAGGAAGAACGTGAAGAGAGAGGAGGAGGAGGAGGAGGAGGAGGAGGAGGAGGAGGAGGAGGAGGAGGAGGAGGAGGAGGAGGAGGAGGAGGAGGAGGAGGAGGAGGGGCGCCGCGGTGCCTGCGCACCATGTCCAGGAAGAACGTGAAGAGCGACTCCCTGTCGTCCGCGTAGCCCTGGTACTTCGCCACGTTGCGGATCTGGCCGAAGATGTCGTCGTACTCCTCGCCGCGGGCCCCGCGCGGGGTGCCGGCCGCCCAGAGAGGGACGAGGAGACAGGCTGCATGACTGGTCGCACGGCCAATATGGATCCCTACTCATCCTCATCCCGGCTCATCCTCCTCATAATCCTTCCCCCGTGCTCCTCGGTACTCCTGTTTCCTCCTCACCCTCCACTCCATCCCAACGTAACCTCATATTCCTTCCTACCGCTGCTTCCCTCCTACCTCCTCTCTCTCTCTCTCTTTTTCTCCAAAAGGTCATCATCCACCGCTGGAGGAGTCGGGAAGATGGCGCATGGAGGAGGAAAAGGAGGCCGGACGGAAGGGGTGGCGATGAAGAGAAAGCGGAGGACGAGGAGAGCAAGAGGCAAGATTGCAGAGAATGCCCAGAGGAAAAAGCGAGAGGGAATCGCGGCAGGAGGCCGAGGACGCCCCATTTCTTGTCGCATGCGTTGCTCACCCGTGGCTACTCGAGACCGGTGGGGCGTTGAGAGGGGGGGAGAAGGAAGAGGGGAATGAGAAAGAGAACGATCGAATCCTTCTTCGTCGCCAGGAACAAGAGACCCGAAGAGTGAGCCTCCTCCGAGCTCCAATCCCGGGCCCCCCAAGCGCCACGAGAAGGCGAAGGGCTCGACTCAAGGCTTCACGAGAAGCCAGACGCTTACTGCGGGGACGCCTCGAGGCGATGCTTGGGGGGGATGGAAGGGGGGATACGAAAGAAGAGAATGGAGGAAGCAGTGGCCGACGGCTCGATCTGCCCATGTCGCTGGCCCCTGGAATCCAGGGCCGGCGTTCCGTGCCAAGACCCTCCCTGGACGGCCCTGGGGCCCGGAGACGGCCGCACAATATCGAGCATCGCCAAACTCCTCGGCGTGATCCTGTTCGTGTCGCCAGGAGGATGAATCCTCTTCAACCTCCTCACGGTGCCATGCCCCAGCGCGCGTGGGGCGGTTCGGAGTCTGGCCTCTCGGGCGAACAGGTCGGGTATGTTGCCACTGGACAGCATGTCGTTGACGTACACCTCGCCCGGCCAGGGCAGACGGAGGATCGATGACGCACCCCCTCCTCCCTCACTCCTCCTCCTCTGCTCCACCGCCTCCTCCTACTCCTCGTGCACCTCCTCAACTCCTCATCCTCCTCCTTCTCCTCCTCCACAACCTCCTCCTCCTCCTCCTCCTCCTCCTCCTCCTCCTTCTCCTCCTCCACAACCTCCTCCTCCTCCTCCTTCTCCTCCTCCACAACCTCCTCCTCCTCCTCCTCCTCCTCCACCTCCACCCCGTGCTCCACCAGATCCGCCTGGAGACCTCCTCCACCGCCTCCACATCCTCCTGCTCCTCCCTCTCGCGCTCCCCCACGTCTTCCTCCTCCCCAGCCTGCGGAGCGAGCGCGCGGCATCACGGACGCTGGCCTGTCAGGCGTCCCCTCAATCGGCCCGAGCAGCCCGCGCTGCCAGAGGGTCACCACGTGGCTGCGCCAGCACCCGTCCTCTTCGCTGTCCTCCTCCGCCTCTGAACTCCGAGCCTTCGGCACCCTCCGCCCCCACGGCCTGCCCCTCCGTCTGCGCCCTCCTCCTCCTCCTCCGCCTCCTCCTCCTCCTCCTCCTCCTCCTCCGCCTCCGCCTCCTCCTCCTCCTCCTCCTCCTCCGCCTCGGCCTCCTCCTCCTCCTCCTCCTCCGCCTCGGCCTCCGCCTCCCCGCCACCCCACCTCCTTGTCACCCCGCACCCACCCCCCCCGACCCACATCACCCACCCCCCATGCAGCTCCCCCTCTCACCTGCTCAGTCCTCCTCCTCTCCCAACTCCTCCTCCTCCTACTCCTCCTCCTCCTCCTCCTGCTGTTCTGCCTCCTCCTCCTCCTCCTCCTCCTCCTCCTCCTCCTCCTCCTCCTCCTTCACCCCCCACTCCCTAAGTCTCCAATCTCGCCCGTCCCCCACCCCACCCCACCCCGCTGTGGAGGACGACAAGGAGGGGCTCCCACGCCACCGATTGCAGGACGGGTGTCGCCCAGGACGCCGAGAGCAAGGGGGTGCGAGGAAGAGGATCGCGGACTTCTCCGTCCCGCCACGGACCCTGGCCAGCTCGCGGCGGGGTGCAAACTCTCACCCAAAGGCGACAGAATCTAGCCCGAAGCCGATATGGCAAGTGTCCTCGCCCCTTTGGGCTCTCCTCGGGCCGTCCGCGGATGCGAAGGTCGGAGGTCGCTGCAGCTTCTGCAGCTCAGGGGTCGAAGGTCGGAGGTTCCTGCTGCCGAGCCGCACGGCGTTGCCGATCCCACCGCCCTGCAGGACGAGGTAGAGGAAGAGGGGTCCTCTTCTGCATCCCCTCAGAGCTCATCGTGCGCTCAGGAAGGAGGACCATTCGGGAGAAGGACCCTTCGGGAGGACGACCCTTGATTTAGGGAGGAGGACCCTTAGGGTCCTCCCTGATGTTCTTCCCTAAGGGTATGAGGGTCCTCCCCTCTCTGGCCTTCAAGCGATGGCTGTGGCTGGGACAGGCTAGATCGCCCAGCAGCGATGCGAAAGAGGACGTGCCCACGGACTCAAAATGGACCCAAAAGGATCCTACCAACACCCCTAGGGATCCTCCCTAAGGATCCTCCCTGAGGGTCCTGAGGGAGACGCCCCGCTCGTGCTAGAGGCCTCCTAGATGGGGTCCGAGCAGATGGGGTCGGAGGATCGCGCCGCATCGCCGATACATCGGCGATGCCTCGGCGATGCATCGGCGATGCACCCGCGATGCACTGGCGATACATCGTCGACTTCGCCGATGCATCGGCGACGTCGACGTGGCGCAAAGCTTGCTGCACATTGAGCCGCATCGGCGATGCATCGGCGATGCGGCCCGACCCTCCGACCCCATCTACTCCGACCCCACCTGGACGTGCCCACTCGGGCCACACTCAAGACGCCCGACGCCGCGGAACAACGCAGGCGAGGAACTTTTTCGAGGATGCGCTGGAACACCCCGGATCGGCCGGGGCCGCGTCGCGGACCTGGCGACGCCACGGAAGGGCTCCTCGGCTCGGGCGGGCGAACCGAAAACGAGGCCTGGAACAGGACGACATCGGATCGGGATGCCTCGGGGATCTCTGAGATCCGGCGGCTCTGGAAGGTGTATCGACTGCCGCGGCCGCGCCAGAGCATTCTGGAACGCTCTGAGAGAGCTCCAGAACGCGCTGGAGCGATCAATCTTGTTCCTGGGCCTGTCTGACGAGGCCACGGGGGGAGGTCCCTTCTGTACCCTCGCCAGCCAGCCCCCTCTGGGGGGCCTCATCTTTTCGAGCCGCGTCCAGCCGTGGCGACGAGAGCCATCATAATCGCCTCGACAAAAACTGAGGCGAGGACACCGTCGCCTCGGCCAACTCTGCCGTCGCCACGCCACGCCTCGCGGGTGCGAGTGTTAAGGGGTTTAATTCTGGGAGGTCTTCGAACGCACGTTCCAAACGCTGTTCAGCCCGATTGAGGGGCCATTGATCCAGACTGGCTAAGCCCGGAACTATGCCGAATTAGGCGGGATGAAGACAAACTAAAAGGGATCAGGCCAGATGACATCCGTGCCTCGACCACGTGAGTACCAGCCCCGATGCCGAGTGTCGTCTCCCAGGAGTTGCGTCCCGAACGGGTGTCCGCCTCAGGGGGCCCCGAAAACAGCAGGTCCGTTAGCAAAACAACGGCGACTGGAAAAACGGCAAAACAACGGATCCAAGATTGGAACCAGAGTCGGCGATGGAACCGGTAAAAAAAAAAAAACGGCGCCGGAACCGGCAACACCACGGCACAACGGAACGGGCAGCAGAAACGGCCCTTGCGATTCCAGGGCCCGCGTAAGGCGTCCGCCCGCCCCCGTCCCACGAGGAAGCGCTCGTCGACAATCTGGGAGTCGGTCATCAGGAAGGCGTGCGGCTCCCGCGGCTTCACGGCCGCCTTCTTGTAGAACTCCTGGGCGGGCGCTCGGGCGCTCGGCGGGCGCCCCGGCGCCCCGGCGCGGGGGAGGGCTGCGGCGGAGGGGGAGGGCCCGTCCCTGGGCTGCCGGGGCCGTGGGCCAGCGTGCTCCTCGAGCCCCGGCAGCGCAGCGGCTGCGGCGCCGACGGCGCCCCGGAGACGGGATCGAGGGGCGAGCGGAGGCCACAGCCTGGGCGAGGGAAAAGGGGGGGGAGGGCAAGGGGGAGGCGGAGGGGAAGGGGGGAGGGAGGGAAGCGGGAGGGGTGGAGGCAGGGATCCTTGGAATTTGTCACTGCAGGGACCGAGGAAAGGGAAGGGGGGGCAGGGGGAAGGGGGCAGGGTCGGAGGACTCGGACCAAGCGGGGGAGGGAGAGGAGGCACAGAGCACGTCTCCGCTGGGCCCCTCGTGGGGCCACGAGGGGTCCCAGCGGAGCGGCGGCTCGTCAGCAGTCTATGGGCCACTCTGGTAACCAGTCCCGAGAGCAGCACCATCTCGAAGGATTGCAAAACAAAAAAAAAAAAAAAAACACTTAGGATTGGAAAAAACAAAACCCAGTACGAAGGATTGCAAAAAAAAACCATACATACATACATACACACATACATACATACACACATACAATCCCGCGTCCGTCCCCTTCCTCTTCATCTTTCTCCTCCCAGTCCACGCCCTTCGCCTCCGCTGCTCCTCCTGCTCCTCTGCGCGCGAGACCGGCGAACTGCGCGCATACCCGCCGAGCTGACTCCACCGACGAACCATGTTTCATGGAACGGCTGAGCATGCCGCACGCTCTGGGCCGGGCGAACCTACGTCCTCGTGTGAGAAGTGGCTACGCGACCATTTCCGGAAGATGCGTGGCCTCATCGGGAAATTACGGGCCGGCCCCCGCCACAATTGTTCCTGCTCTGCGAACAGCGCAATGACTATGTTAAGTTGTAGGATCTGTCTCACGCTCAGGCACAGCAGCCACTAGCCGCCTTACATACCAAAACTCAGGGTGCACGCGGTCCCGTGGGACAAAGACGGAGACCATGGTCGCTGGGAGTAACGACATCAATGCTGACAGCAATCTGCAATTTCTTTGAATGAATCGTGGTGGTAATCACTGGTCGTGGTAGCAACGGCGAATATTGTAGAAGTGACGCCTCTGGCAAGCGCCCTCTCTGGGTCAGAGCAGGGTCGCTGAAGGGCGTTCCATTGAGGGCCAGCAGGAGCAGAATGATGAGGCTCGGAGCGAACGATGTCACAAGCCGCCAGACCAAATCCGCCACCGCTGCGTTCTCTCAGCACTGGGATGGGCGCCCCCCTGTCCCTGCGGGTCCTCTGTGCCGCTTCCGACTGCTGCAGATACTCTGCGGGGGGGGGGGGGGGGCAGGGGGGCCTCTCAGAGGCCTCCTGTCCACGAACAAAACGGTGGCGGGTTTGAACGAAGGCCACTCTGAAGGGGCCCACAAACACACAGATAAATACACAAAAATATAGATATTCCCCATATTTTCACATATTTCCTGGGTTTCTGTCTTCCCCCCCACTTCCCATATTTTTGCATATTTTCTGGGAATCGACAAATAATTATGTCTGTGTGTTTTGTTCCCTCCTGACACTCATCAGATACATCGAAGCCACGCGGGTGGGAAGCGCCCGCCCAGCGGCGCCGCGGGGCTCCCCCAGGGAACCACGGGGCCACCGGGAGCCCAGGCCGAGAGCCCCGACAACAAGCCCGTGGGCGCAGAGGGGCGCCTGGAAGTCCGCCTTCAGCTCGCTGAGCCCGTAGGTGTGGTTGACCATGATGGTCAGCACCGCCTGCGGGGGCCGGAGCCGGGGAGGACTCGGACTCGGACTCGGCTCCGCGCGTGCGGCGCCATGAAGGCGCGGCGGAATGGGCGCCGAGGCGCCTGCATTGAAGACATCGGCAAACAAATCTGCATGTGAAAATTATGCATGCGAGGCGCCAAAGGAGGATTGCCCGCGAGGCTCCAGCTGCAGTGCTCAGCTAGTCTGAGTGAGGCAAGTGTCCCGCCTTGCTTGCCTGCTTTGAAAGACTGTTCTCCCAAGCAGTGGCGGAACATGTGCTGCAGACGCGACTGGGAGTAGCACCGCCTGCGGGGGCCGGAACCCGTGGAGGGCGAACTGCAACCGAGGGACTAGAAGGTGATGGAAAGGGGTGCGGTCCTTCACCCCCTGTTCTGACTACCTACCAGACCACCCCAACCCAACCCGAAGACCCGAATTTGACCCGAATTTCGGGTTGGGGGGGTACGGATACCACGTGTTTTTTCAACGTTCCCCGACCCCCCCCCCACTGGAAATCGAGGATAAATTTGGGCCTTCGGGTTGGGTTGGGGTGGTTTGGTGGGTGGTGATGTTCATCCCCCCCTCCGTTGACGAAGGCTCGATCCTGGACCCTGGGACCTTCCCTGGGGCCCTCTGCTTCATCCCGAGGCGCTGCTCGACGGCCCCGCCCAGGGCCTCCGGGAGGGCCCCGGGAAGCCGAGGGCGGCGAACAGCCTGCATATGGGGCTCCTCTCCCTCCGGACACCGTCTCGGACATCCAGTGTCTGGCAGAAGCCAGGGCGAAGGCTCTTCGCCGTGTTCGGCCTCGGGGAGCCGCCGTCCTCGGGCTACGGTGCTGCCGAGAGCGACTCAAGAGCAAGGCCCTCGGATTTCCAAGGGCTTCCCCTGGGCTTGCAACACATCGGATGCCTGGCACCCGCGCGGCGCTCCGACAGTTCCGAGGCGCAGGCCCCCGAACCTCTCGCCCCCGTCCCCGGCCCCGGCTTCCATCTCGAACTGTACGCCCTCCGCGATCTTGAGTGCACGAACGTCCTCGTTCAAATGCCCTCCAGGGGAAACTAACCGCGTACGTGTACATATGTTGCTGGCCTCTGAAACTTTGGTCTGACAGTCCCGAGGCCCGACACTAGCATCTCGAAGCCCAGCATCTCGAGGGTGGACGTTCTCTTATCGCTCATCCGGTGTTTCAACATTGGGCGGAAGGGGGGGGGAGGGGGGGGTCTGGCTCTGGACCTCTGCTTCATGCGACTGATTGGAGCAGTGCTCCCGTGGGGAATCCTGTGGGGAGCCGCCCATCTGCTGGAAACAGGCAACCAAAACAGCAATGATCTGCTCCATGGGGGGCGAGGGGGGGTGCGAGGGCCCGCGCCGATCGGCCAAACAATAATAAGAACACGATCACAAGCCATCATGCTGCTTCGAGCCATCCCCGCCCGCGAGGCGGCATCCCCAGGGGGCGCCCCATGGAGCATTTGGGCACACTTTGGGCCTGCCCGTCGCGGTACTCCTAGCACGCGAGGCGGGTGGGGGGAGCACGTGCCTTGTAAATCTCAACCCCGAGAGCCACTCTCGATCACTCGCGATACCGCCCGCCGCTGGCCCCGCCCGCCCCCCCCCCGGTGACGTCACGACTCTCGCCAGCGCCGTCTGGGAAGCAGCCGTCCCTTAAGCCTTAAGCCCTAAGCCTTCCCAATCGGCGCCGGAGCGAACCGTGGCGTGACCAGCCCTCCCCCCCTCCCCCCAACCGGTTACACCCGTCCACCGCCAGAAGTCTTTCGAACACGCCCCCCCCCAGAAGGGGTAACTACTCACCTGTTCGGCGGCCGTGTTGGAAGGCGGGAGTCGAAACTGCAGGCCTCCTGGGGTCGTCGGCAGGGGACACGTGGCCACAAGCCGACCGCCTCGACTTCCTGGAGGCGCCCAGGGCCCCCAGCTTCGCGCACGGCGCGGCGCGCAGCGCGAAGTGCGAACAACTTCGCGCTCTCGCGCCGCACCGCAGGGGAGAAGAGGAGGGTGAAGATTACCAGCCTGGAACATATCCCTATCCCTATGCTGGGCACCTCCTCATCACGATGCCAATCTTAGGGATATCCTTATGTTTTGAGGGCGAATCCCTAAGATTGTCATCGCCTTTTGGTGTGCCAATCTTAGGGGTTGGGATACGTTCGAAGCTGGCAAGAAAAGGAATCGGAGCCGAACCGCGAAGCGCGAAGAACTCCGCGCCCTCGAGGGCGCCCCCCTCGGAGGCAGCCGGCGCGGGCGCGCCTGCTCGTTGATGAAGCTCGCCAGCCTCGCCAGGGACTGCTTGCCCGAGCCTGTCCAGTCGCCCGCCGAGGCCGCCGCCGCCGCTCGGCTCGTGGCCGCCGCCGGGTGACGCCAGTTTGACTACCTACCAGACCACCCCAGCCCAACCCGAAGACCCGAATGTCGGGTCGGGGGGGGGGGTATGGAAATGGAGGGCAAATTGAGGCATTCGGGTTGGGTTGGGGCGATTTGGTGGGTGATGACACTTGGGGCGTTGAACGAATGAACCCTACATACGGAACGCGGCTCCTTTCTTTTTAGTCGGGCATGTCCCCCTACAGGCGGATGTCGAGCGAACAAAACCCGAACACCCTACAAAAAGCTCAAACATGGGCAGCACGTGTCCAAGCATCGTCACCAGACTACTGTTCGAAACTATGTTTTTGACTATTCCTCCTGTAGAGGGACAGGGCCGACTGAACCCTTGCTTCCAGAAGTGGAACTTCGTTGTCCCATCGAAGACCCGAGGAAGACCGAGGGCAAACTGCGAAACAATGAAGGAGCACGGAACCCCTCCCCAACGAAAATGGTTCCTGCTTCAGCGCCCCGGCTGCACGGGGAGGAGGAGGAGGAGGGGGAGGAGGTGGAGGAAGAGGAGGAAAAGGGGGGTGCAGGAGGGGGAGCAGGAGGGGGGAGGAGGAGGGGGGAGGAGGAGGGGGAAGGAGGTTGGAGGAGGCGGAGGTTGGAGGAGGAGGTTGGAGGGGGAGGAGGAGGGAGGAGGAGGGGGGACAGGAGGAGGAGGAGGAGGAGGAGGAGGAGGAGGGAAGAGAAATAATAATAGTAATAATAATAATAATCATAATAATAATAATAATACTAATAATAATACTAATAATAATAGTAATATTAATAATAATAATAATAATAATACTAACAATAATAATAATAATAATAACAATAATAATAATGCGGCATAGAGGCACGCCGTGTGTCTGGTTTCCCACAAGTCCGAGGCGGGAAGGCCAAGGTAGGCCCTCGACAAAAACTAAAACGTAAGCACTCTCAGAGTGCATATGGACAGGGACAGCGAAAACAGTATCGTACTCGCACGGCTTCCAGCCGAAGCTGGGTTTAATCCAAAAGAAAAGCGAGAGGGCCAAGACAGGCCCCAACAGGCTTAAAACAAACCCTGGGGAACCGTCGCACCGACAGGTCGGGGTACGACGCTCTACACGGACATAAATACCACTGACTGTAACAAGCAGGCGGCACGGCGGCAACGCGGCAGCGGTGGCAGCACCTCAAGCCTGGAACGGGTCCAGGCACACATACACGCAGGACAGGAAAGGGAAGACGAGGAGCAGAGGGCACACACGCGCGGCACCACGACCAGGAAGGTGGTGGAGACGGCGGCGTGCGCGGAGGAGGTAGTACGCGGCCCCTCCATCAGAAAAGTAGTGTATGAACTTCAATGCACTGCACCCAAGCCACTCAGTAGAGAGCCAGGCCGTACCATTCAATTCAGGTCGATATGTAATTCCACCACATCCAGCATACACGGTCCCGCCAGCTGGTACCCTCTGCCTCCAAAGTCTGCGAGGAGGGAGGAGGAGGAGGAGGAGGAGGAGGAGGAGGAGGAGAGAGGAGGAGGAGGAGGAGGAGGAGGGAGGAGGAGGGGGAGGGGGGGCGCTCTTTCTGGAGCTTTCGGGAACTCCTGTTGGCTCTTGGAGGTCCTCTCGCCGCGGGATGCTCTCTGGCAGCGGAGCGGCGCCTCGCCGAGCGCGCTCCGGGGGGGCCCCGGACTCGTCCCGCAAAGACGGCCGCCGCGGTCAAGGCATGGCGTGGGGGACGCACGGCGGGCGAGTGAAGCGCAGGGGGAGGGGAGGACGGCGCCGAGGGAGGCGCGCGGAGAGCAGAGGCCGCACCCCTCCCTCCTCCCTCCTCCTCCTCCTCCTCCTCCTCCTCCTCCTCCTCCTCCTCCTCCTCCTCCTCCTCCACCCCCTCCTCCGCCTCCTCCGCCCCCTCCTGCGGGTATCCGCGGCGCGCGGCGCCGCGGATGGGGCTGACGAGCCAACAACACACACCCATACCCACAGGGGGGCCGTTGGAAAGGAGAACTGGCTATGGGTATGGGTGCGGGTTGCCGGACCCTGGGGAACGCTCCCGTTCGAGCGGGGACCCCCATCCGACAACACGCACCCATAGCCCTCTCCGACCCCCCTATGGGCTGCATCGGCACGGTTGGGGCGTTGGCAGAACTGGGTTCAGCGGGACCTGGCTTGGTGATGTGTACTGGGGGACGACCCCCCCCCCCGCCCAGTTCCACGAACCGGAACTGCCGTCACCCGAAAAAAAACAGCTGCGGCAGACCTGGCTTAGTGATTCTGGCCTATTTAGGGGCTCCGGGGCCCTGCTACCAAGCGGGTCCCCTCACCTGGGGTCCTGGCTATACCCGACCGGTGTCAGATTCGAATCGGATCAGCCGCGCCATGATACACAACTGCGCCGTGTGAGCATCGGGCCACGACAGATCGCACGAAAGACGGGATCGAATCGGATCGGGACAGCCGAAGCCACTATCAGATCGGATCGATCGGATCGAAACTGACCCTGCCATGGCCACCGCCTCCGCCCTGGCCAGTGGCCGCCGCTCGATAAGGGGGAAGTGCTAGCCAGACCCCCTCGCCTGGCGTCTATGCCAACAAAACACAAAGCAAAATGTCATCCAATCTCTGGCCACCGGGGGCCAGGCGCCGTCAACCACAAGATTCGGATGAAGAATGGCTCCTAGGGGAGGAGTCAAGACCTCGGAAGGCCCGCGCTAACACGAAATTAATATAGAGAGTTGGCGAGAGGCGGATGAAGTGAGAGAACCCAGAAAAAGAGAGAGAGAGAGAGAAAGAGAGAGAGATACAGAGAGAGAGAGAGAGAGGAGAGAGAGAGAGAGAGAAAAAAAAAAAGAGAAAAATGGAGTGAGAGAGAAAGAGAGAAAAACATGAGGCAGACAGAGAGAGAGAGAGACATAACAATAGCGAGAGAGAGAGAGAGAGGGAACACCAAAGCAGGGGCACAACCACAGAGAGAGAGAGAGAGCGAGAGAAAGATGCAGGCGTATAGGAACCTCGAGCGAAACAGAGGAGGAGAGAGAGAGAGAGAGGGAGGGACGCGCTCGCCGAGCCACAGGGGGTCCACAGAAATCTGATGTTGGGCGCCCGAATTATCCGGGGTAACTCGGGTCCGGGGTAACTCGGGTTTGGATTCCCGGAAAAGGAACCCGAGTTAGCCCTGACCCGAGTTATCCCTGATGATTCGGGGCTCTGGACGCCAGAGTTATCCGGGGTAACTCGGGTCCGGGGTAACTCGGGTTTGGATTCCCGAGAAACGAACCCGAGTTATCCCTGACCCGAGTTACCCCTGATGATTCGGGGCTCTGATGATGCCTCGATTTCTTCAACACGGGGTACACCGAAGACCCGACCCCTTCCCCGGGCCGCACCCTCCACCGGAGCCGCTGCCTGACGGCACACCGGCGCGACAGCCGCCCCCCCGGGCCCTCCTCCTACGGCGCCTATACTGAAGGGGCCCCAGGACACACAAATAAATACACACAAATAAAAAAATCCCCCATATTTTCCCATATTTTGGGGTTTTTTGTCTTCGCCCCCACTTCCCATATTTTTCCATATTTTCTGGGAATCGAGGATTAATTGTGTCTGTGTGTTTCTTCCCCTCCTGATATATACGCCTCCTGGCCAGGGCCGGGCGGCCTGTGGAACGCCCGGCGTGGGGTGCCGTGGCGGCCTGGCCGGCCCCATCCGCCGGCGCTGCCCGCGCCGAGTCCGTGCCGAGTCCATGTCGTGCCCGTCGAATCCGCGTCGAATCCACGTTGAGTCCGCATCGAATC